CCAAATCCCCAGAGGGCCAATCCAAGTTATGCCTTACACAATACCCATCATTCCTAATTCTTCTCAGGAAAATGTTATAGACATTTGAGTCATTATCTAAAAGCAACGCAAAAACTCTCTTCAGTGTGTGAGGATGTCGATGGGTATCTATATGTTAACTATAGCTATCCCAGTTTGTGATGAGTCTACTTTTCTATCTCTGCTAACTGTTGTAAAAGCCTCTTTGAACTTAGTCATTCTGAAAGCATATACCCACAAGTTGGATACCGGACTAATCAGTAGAGGGAGGATACAAGACGTAACCAAGTAATGTATGTCCACATGTTTTCCTACCATCCAAATCGCCAGAGGGCCAACCCAAGTTATGCCATACACAATACCCATCAGAACAGCAGCTTGGGATTGGCTTTTTATTCTGATCTGATACCGTCTGTCACGCTGCAAATGAGTTCTGCTTATGACGTAAACGTAGGCGAAGAAAGCGAAATTAAGCACCACCAGTACGACGAGGACAACTCCTGTAAAGTATAAGAACATGTTTTGTGAACCATAGATACCTCGAAGAAGTCTTCCAATAACAATACACATCAGACATAGGATCCAGGACAAAATCACGACAATCACCATTTTTCTTACTGTTACAACTTCACAGTATATATATGGATACCGAATACCAAAAAAACGCTCGAAAGCAATTAATGAAATACTAAGAAAGGTAATCATGAAAATGCATGCCAGAAATTGTGTTCTGAACTCCACAAATATGGAGTTGCATCGCAACTGTGGTTCGATGTGGTACACTATATAGATGGGAAAACCAAGAGCACAACTTGAGGCGTCACTGACGGCCAAGTTGATAAGAGGAATATTGCAGGGAAATGCTCTTAATGATTTAGTTTTCATGTACACACAAATTATCATGCAATTACCAATCGTGCCAATGAGCGCCATGACAGAACCAACTGTTGCAATAATGATAAGCATTGCTCCATCAACAGGCTTTGGGACCTCACAGGTCAACGAAACATTTTCTGAATCGTTGTGCATGATGACGTGTGACAATAGAATAATGTAAATCACTCTGAATCACTTACAATTAACTAGGCATTTTCTCATAAGATTTGCAAAATAAATTAATTCCTCGGGGACCACATGTTCACTCCTCTTAGAGTCGTAGATGTTACATTTACTCATACACAAAGTGCAACTTTAAGAAATGCGTGTATAACCGAATCTTAAAAACAAGGAACCAAAAGATTATTTGTTGATCTGAGAAACAGGAGACTATTTCACGGCACAGTTGAATTTAAGCACACAATAAGACAATCACAATCAATGTGATAACGATGTGATAACAGCACTCACGTTGGATGACATTCCGCTGAATACATTTGACATACCTACTAGTAACAGTTTTGTAAAGATGTCAAAGGAAAAACAAATTGTTGATAGAGAAATTCGTAATGGAATCACATTTTCCAATGACAATATATCAAAGAAAATATCCTTTTTATTTGGATATGATGACGTATCCGAAATGTTCGAAACCGTTTGTGTTGAAGTGGAAAAACACACATTTGCTAAGTGACCGTAAATATTGCAACTGTATCCCATTATGATTCTGTTCAGGGCAGAGACTTTGTCAGTCTTGAATCACTCAAAGTCACGGAACGGTTGTCCTTTCAGCTGGTGAGTTGGCCTGTAACCTTGTCACAGTATCTGGGTACCAGTCATGAATCACTCAAAGTCACGGAACGGTTGTCCTTTCAGCTGGTGAGTTGGCCTGTAACCTTGTCACAGTATCAGGGTACCAGTCATGAATCACTCAAAGTCACGGAACGGTTGTCCTTTCAGCTGGTGAGTTGGCCTTTAACCTTGTCACAGTATCTGGGTACCACTCATGAATCACTCAAAGTCACGGAACGGTTGTCCTTTCAGCTGGTGAGTTGGCCTGTAACCTTAACACAGTATCAGGGTACCAGTCATGAATCACTCAAAGTCACGGAACGATTGTCCTTTTAGCTGGTGAGTTGTCCTGTAACCTTAACACAGTATCAGGGTACCAGTCATGAATCACTCAAAGTCACGGAACGGTTGTCCTTTCAGCTGGTGAGTTGGCCTTTAACATGTCACAGTATCTGGGTACCACTCATGAATCACTCAAAGTCACGGAACGGTTGTCCTTTCAGCTGGTGAGTTGTCCTGTAACCTTAACACAGTATCAGGGTACCAGTCATGAATCACTCAAAGTCACGGAACGATTGTCCTTTTAGCTGGTGAGTTGTCCTGTAACCTTGTCACAGTACCTGGGTACCGACCCTGGAGCATTCAACGTCATGTCACAGTTGTCCTTTCTTTGAACATTCCCGAAACATACCTCAAGAAGGGTTCCAACTGAAACATCACTCGTTGGTGAAACCCTTTCCTCCTCCTTTTAAAGGCAACGGAGCCTAATTCAAATGTGTACAAAGTGTTGACTGTTCGATTTTCAGTATTCCATAATTGAATGGAGTTACTACACAAATAATTCGTTTCAGCAGGAATAAACAACCAAATCACAACTGTGATAGTCGCATTGATGGTTAAGTGGATGCCTTCTTTTCGTTAATCCTTTCTTGATTTTATCACCAGTCACACTGAGCCAGAAAGGTTAGTAGGTTTCGTTCCAGTATCAACAGGGTGCGTGAATATGTTAGTGACCACTGCCTTCCCGGTCGATGATGAAGGTGAGTTATCACGTGTAATTCGAAAGAAACACGTTGTACGCCTACTGTTGATTACTTTTGTCACTATTGGTCTGTCGCATTATTTAACACTAAATGTGTTGAACATTTATTGATCTGAATTCAGTGGTGCCTAAATTACAAATTAGGTTTGGTATTGTTATGCAATGTCAATAGTGAGTGAGAGAGTTTGGCTTAACGCCGCTTTTAACAGTTTTCCAGTTATATCACGGCGTGTCAGCTGAATGTGGGAGAAAAGCTCGAAGTGATGCAGGTCTCAGGCGTTTACCACTTCGGTGAAACAAACGAGCACGGGTATGGTGCTGACAAACCTAAAACATAATCGGGGCGAACCGGGATTCGAACTCACAATCATAGGTTTCTGGCGTGCCCAAGGGATGCAACTCTGCACAGCGAATCGCGGCGCCTTGGACGACTGGGCCACCCGTGCCCCCTGCAATGCCAATAGCTTACTTTGATACTACATACGGCTATCAGTATTTTCTTAAATAACTATGTTGCATAGTTATAAGTAATATTGAACTATACAGATAATCCCTGTTTATGTGGACTAGCTCTTACATCCTACAGCTTCCCTTGCATGTAATGGTTGCTCTTTGAGAGAGATTTTCCAATAACCACATACAGAGTGATGTATGAATCATTCAACGCTGTGTCACGTTTGTTCAAGCAAGTTGTCCCGATGCCAATACTATGTTGTCCTTACGTGAAAGCAGGGATCTGACTTATACAGGTAGAATACGCCTCAGAAACTATGTATACATTGCGTACCATACAGACTTCGGACCAGTATATAGATTGTTGAATAGATCAGTGGTCCATATCTTACACATAACTCCAGAAGTTTTCAAACTGAAAGATCAATCGTTGGTCATATTCATTCCGCTTCCTTTAGTGAGTGAGTATGGTTTTACGCCGCTTTTAGCAATATTCCAGCAATATCACTGCGGGGGACACCAGAAATGGGCTTCACACATTGTACCCATGTCGGGAATCGAACCCGGGTCTTCGGCGTGACGAGCGAACGCTTTAACCACTAGGCTACCCGACCGCCCCCCGCTTCCTTTAAAAGCCAACGAATCACAAATCGAAAGTGCACAAAGCTTGGAGATTACGATTTCGATCATTGAAAAGTCAATACATACATATATTGCCCACGTTGATGCGACATTTACGTATTAATCGACACAATGTGTAATTGGAGCTCAAACAACTACACAAATAATTCGTTTCAGCAACGAATAAACAACTCTGCGCATATTACCAACTGTTTTTAATATAAGACAACACCCAAGAATCTTCTGTCGAAACATATTCCATTGGTCGTAAAAGGCGGAAAATGATGAAACCTATTTGACAAATAGTCTATCAATGTTTTCCATCAACAACTATATTGTATATTCACAAGTAATTTTGAATTGGGTAAGCCTTATTTATCTGAGCTAGCTCTTACAGCCTTCATCTTCGCACTCTATCTACTGAACCTTTCGACCGCCTCCGTGGTCTAGTGGTAGAGCGTCCGCCCGGAGAGCGGAAGGTCCGGGGTTCGATCCCCGGCCGCGTCATACAAAAAGACGTTAAAAGATGGTACTTGTTGTTACCCTGTCTGGCGCTCGACATTAAGGGGCTAAAACAAGGACTGGTCGGCTCGGAGTCAGTATACTGTGTCTGAGTGGGGTATTCAGGTTAAACTGCGGCATGGTATCTCAGTGGGCTAGCACTATAAATCGGGATCAGTCCGGACTAGTACAAGCAGCCACACACACACACACACGTACATGCACGTCGCTATATAAGTGCAATAATCTTGGAGGCGACGTTAAACCCCATTTCACCTCACCTCACCTTCACTGAACCTTGCAGATGGTGAACATGTCACGTGTAGGCGTAACATCATGTCGAACACAGTCGCGATGTTTGCAGAGTGGAAAGGGGATGTGGTGTTACAAGCGCGGATACAGAAGTTTGGGAAGGGGTACATGAAGACATGAAAGGGGCTTGGATCTTACAGCACACACATCCTCATACTGAACATATTACGCGGCAAGAAACGTGTTAAGCTTAGAATCGCTGTACTGTGAGTTACAACAGTATCGCACTGGCGTTTGTAAATACTGCAGTTGTGAAATTGTTCCTGGGGAGCGTCCAATAAGGGTATTTTTGTTATCTCTCACCCTGCATTTAGTCCTTTCTTTTCCTAAACATGGGTATTGATCTTCACGGCAAAACAACTATCAATGAATACTTGACGATGCATAAGAATGAAACAGGTTTATTCATGTCAGTTTACAGAGATGATAATTCAGTATAGAATATAACAGTAAATAAACTGATCGTGTTTTATGCATGATCATATTCAATACTTGAAACACAAAAAATGTAAAATGTAAAATGTTATTGTTATTAATTATTTTTGAAAGCGTTGAGAAGTTTTACGTTTCAAATAGTATTTCCCTTCAAGTAAGCATACATTTGCTGGGTCAGCCATCTGCCAGGTTGGAGAGCGAGGGAAATATAACGAAATATAGCCATAACTAGTTCAATACATAGCGCTGTATTTAGAGCGGAACATCTCATACTTAATGCACGGCCTGAACTATACAATAGAATATAATATCCATTCAGTATGAACTGTTTATTCAGAGTAGTCTGCATCGCATTAATATTTGTGACCAGTACTTTTGGTGATTAGAAGTGACACGCAGCAACCTATGCTTGTCGTAAGAGGCAACTTAATAGATTAGTTGGTCAGACTCGATGATAAGTTGATTGCGTGTCATTGCACTCCGGCGGCGTTGATGCTTGCTCAAAATATCAATCACTGGTATGTCTGCCTAGAGTTGAGTATTTACAGGCCGCCATCATATAGTTGAAATATTGCTGAAAGCGTCATAAAACAAGAAACTAGTTTTTTTCTCATTCAAGTAGTATTCAAACTGACATCTCAGGACTAGATATTACTGTGCCTAACTACCGACTTGAACATCTAGCTTTACCTTAAGAATTTAATCACATAAAATTCAAAAGAAATACTGAGTATTCAAAATACCAGCGCGCAATATCGTATATACATGTGCATGTGTCTGTGTTATTAATGCTTTTTCTACCTGATGGTGAACGGGTTTCAAACTCTCAAAAAAGGGTCTGTGGTTGAAATGAAAATAAAATATAATTAGACCCATAACATATAATTAGACCCTTTATTTAATTTTATTCGCGACCCTTGAAGATCTGGACTAGAATAGGTCTTCAGTAACATATGCTTGTCGTAAGAGGCGACTAACGGGATCGGGTGTTCAGGCTCGCTGACATGGTTGATGCATGTCATCGTTTCCCAATTGCGTAGATCGATGCTTATGATGCCATCACTGGATTGTCTGGTCCAGACTCAATTATTTACAGACCGCCGTCATAAAGCTGGAATATTGGTGAGTGCGGCGTTAAACAACAAACAAACAGACAAACAGCATATGCCGATTGCAAGGTCATCATAATTTCTAGATAATACACAACAATGTAGCTAATGCTGACAATAGGTAAAATACTTATACGTCACTGAAATAACGTATCACCCATTATGTCTGGGCGTAAATGACAAAAGCTATGTAACATAAGGATTAAGTGCGAAGTTAATCATATTCTTGTGTTATATACCAGCACATCACGCGATCGCCAGCGGGATATAAACAGAATTACGCTGCTGTTGCGTCAGTTGTAGTGAAGGCCACAGATAATCACCACTGGTGTCACTCATGATAATATCAGGTCAAACGTCATGTATTCGTAAGTTCTCAGCCATCCTTTATTTGGCAGCCCTCTGAAACAGAGTGAGAGACACACACGTTTATAGAAACAGTTTAAGAAACTTCTGCAACGAAAAATGGTCCATATATTGCGACTTTGATTAATTATTTACATGGTCCATTAACTGCGATTTTGATGTAACCATTTACATGGTCCATTATTGTGATCTTGATGTAACCACACACAAGGTCCATATATTGCATTGTTGATGTAACCACGTACATGGTGAATGTATTGTGACTTTATTGTAACCACGTACATGGTGGATGTATTGCGATGTTGTTGTAACCACGTACATAGTGGATGTTTTGCAATGTTGATGTAACCATTTACATGGTGGATGTATTGCGATGTTGATGTAACCACGTACATAGTGGATGTATTGCGATGTTGATGTAACCACGTACATAGTGGATGTATTGCGATGTTCATGTAACCACGTACATGGTTGATTATTGCGATGTTGACGTAACCACGTACACTTGAGGCACTCAGACAAGTTTGTGTGTAAATCTCATGAACGAAGAAGATTCTCCAGGAGTTGACGTATTCATTGCTGCCACGTAACACCTATATGCATCTCCAACACATGGTATGTACAACAATTCCGGAGCCTATGAAATTTATTGTATTTGAATGGTATTGTATACGCGTATCTAATGGCAACTCTGAAACCACCGTTTCCTTAAAAGTCCTAAAAGGAACATGTTTACGATCGTAACTCACATACTTTAACATAGACTTGCGACAGTCGAAGCGCTACGATCGCTTTGTGGAACGGGACCCATTTACCTTCCTATTGCAGTATCTGTCATAGCGTGACGAAGTCTATAGTTGCAGTTCTCCGTCAAGATATGCAGTATGCAGCTACGATGTTTACTAGAGACTCAATACCTTTAAATGGTTGTTAGTTACCGCCGATGTGGGATGGACCGAACATAGATGAAGTTTCAGGCTGCTGGAGAAATAAGACAAATCCCAGATTACAAGAGTTGCCTCCCTTCACCTACCTGCAGCGTAGCTCGGCGATCTCGCAGAACGTGCAGCAACTCGGCCATCGCATCAGCGCGAATGTTCATCAGCTCAATCAACTTCAACTGTAAACACAAACTCTTCACCTTATACAATTCCAATATTAAGTCTCGTGGAATAAACTCAAGGTGTATATATTCAACATATGTTTATATAAACTTGAAACCAAAGGAAATGCGAACGCCTACTCCCCTCAAACGCCCACACACAAGCACGCATGCCAGCACGCACATGTACGCAACACGCACACGCACACGCACATGCACACGCACACACGATCGGGCTGTGACCAGTCCAAATTTACGACCAGCGTACCCGAACGCCAATTACTGAACCGATCCAGGTACCCGCTGTTCACCGGCTTTCACAATTACATTCGTAGATAGTATTTGCTAGTTCACCAAGCATGCTAAGTGAATTGTCTTTCAAAGACATTACTTACCTCAGTAATACATTCATTTACTACCGGTTGTGTGAACAAAATGATTTTATATCAATTCTGTAATAATGTCAAGTCACCAGATTACAGTTCACGAACAACAATACCGCTTACCATAAAACACATACATGGATATCCACACACACAAACACACCCACCCACCCACATATATATACTCTCTCTCTCTCTCTCTCTCTCTCTCTCTCTCTCTCTCTCTCTCTCTACACACACACATGGACACGCACACGCACACGCACATGCACACTCACACGCGCACTCACACGCACACTGGACCCGCTCTATTACGTTCCCTTTCCAAATACAATTATCTAAAACGATCCTACTATTTTCATAGGGAAAATGGACAAAGTTTGACAAATATCTTATCACGTGAAATGCCACATATTAGGAAACGGAAATTGTGAAAGAAGGAAATTGTACAAATAACGACCACGTTCCATTATCTTTAGACTGCAAAGGGTCAAACCGATAACGCATATAGGACAGGACCCGCATCTCTCATGGTGCTGGTCAGATAGAGTTAGGCAAACAAATGTAAGACGTTAATATCTGCATCTGTATCTATAGCTGTTTATCATCCACCCTTATCAAATCACCCGTACCACGTGTACATTCGTTGCATACTAGTCAACTGATAAACTATCATTCTTACTAAACTTCCCTCATAAACAACTTTATCATCAACGCCTCGGTCAAACTAAAATATATAATTCTGTCAGATTCATCGGTCAGTGAGATTATCTGTAGAAGCTAGAATAGGTATAAATACGGACGACAGACAGTCACAAATGATTCTGTGGCTGTCTAATAAACTGGCTGTATATTCACTCAGGTCTTGTGTTGTTGTGTGGGTTGGTCGTGTACAGTGGTACCTCTGCTAAGCGAACTGACTCCCCTCACTCGCTTTAAATACTGTTATGCACTTTGAACTGAATTCTGATGGGGAATTTGTCAAATATTTGTTAAACCGCGCCATCAGCATATATCAGTATCATCTACCCAATACCTTATATCTGTGTATGTATCAACGGTTTCCTAATAGCTGTGTATGCATCTACTATTTCCTTATATCTGTGTATGTATCAACTGCTTCCTTATATCTGTGTATGTATCAACTGTTTCCTTATATATGTGTATGTATCAACTGTTTCCTTATATCTGTGTATGTATCAACTGTTTCTTTATATCTGTGGACGTATCAACTGTTTCCTTATATCTGTGTATGTATCAACTGTTTCCTTATATCTGTGTATGTATCAACTGTTTCCTTATATCTGTGTATGTATCAACTGTTTCTTTATATCTGTGTATGTATCTACTGTTTCCTTATATCTGTGTATGTATCTACTGTTTCCTTATATCTGTGTATGTATCAACTGTTTCCTTATATCTGTGTATGTATCAACTGTTTCTTTATATCTGTGTATGTATCTACTGTTTCCTTATATCTGTGTATATATCAACGGTTTCCTTATATCTGTGTATGTATCAACTGTTTCCTTATATCTGTGTATGTATCAACTGTTTCTTTATATCTGTGTATGTATCTACTGTTTCCTTATATCTGTGTATGTATCTACTGTTTCGTATATATGTGTATGTATCAACTGTTTCCTTATATCTGTGTATGTATCAACTGTTTCTTTATATCTGTGTATGTATCTACTGTTTCCTTATATCTGTGTATGTATCAACTGTTTCCTTATACCTGTGTATGTATCAACTGTTTCCTTATATCTGTGTATGTATCAACTGTTTCCTTATATCTGTGTATGTATCAACTGTTTCTTTATATCTGTGTATGTATCTACTGTTTCCTTATATATGTGTATGTATCAACTGTTTCCTTATACCTGTGTATGTATCTACTGTTTCCTTATATCTGTGTATGTATCAACTGTTTCCTTATATCTGTGTATGTATCAACTATTTTCTTATATCTGTGTTTGTATTCGCTGTTTCCTTATATCTGTGTATGTATCAACTGTTTCCTTATATCTGTGTATGTATCAGCTGTTTCCTTATATCTGTGTATGTATCAACTGTTTCTTTATATCTGTGTATGTATCTACTATTTCCTTATATCTGTGGACGTATCAACTGTTTCCTTATATCTGTGTATGTATCAACTGTTTCTTTATATCTGTGTATGTATCAACTGTTTCCTTATATCTGTGGATGTATCAACTGTTTCCTTATATCTGTGTATGTATCAACTGTTTCCTTATATCTGTGTATGTATCAACTGTTTCTTTATATCTGTGTATGTATCTACTGTTTCCTTATATCTGTGTATGTATCTACTGTTTCCTTATATCTGTGTATGTATCAACTGTTTCCTTATATCTGTGTATGTATCAACTGTTTCTTTATATCTGTGTATGTATCTACTGTTTCCTTATATCTGTGTATATATCAACGGTTTCCTTATATCTGTGTATGTATCAACTGTTTCCTCATATCTGTGTATGTATCAACTGTTTCTTTATATCTGTGTATGTATCTACTGTTTCCTTATATCTGTGTATGTATCTACTGTTTCCTTATATCTGTATATGTATCTACTATTTCCTTATATCTGTGTATGTATCAACTGTTTCTTTATATCTGTGTATGTATCAACTGTTTCCTTATATCTGTGTATGTATCAACTGTTTCTTTATATCTGTGTATGTATCAACTGTTTCCTTAAATCTGTGTATGTATCTACTGTTTCCTTATATCTGTGTATGTATCAACTGTTTCTTTATATCTGTGTATGTATCAACTGTTTCCTTATATCTGTGTATGTATCTACTATTTCCTTATATCTGTGTATGTATCAACTGTTTCCTTATGTCTGTGTATGTATCAACTATTTTCTTATATCTGTGTTTGTATTGGCTGTTTCCTTATATCTGTGTATGTATCAACTGTTTCCTTATATCTGTGTATGTATCAGCTGTTTCCTTATATCTGTGTATGTATCAACTGTTTCCTTATATCTGTGTATGTATCAACTGTTTCTTTATATCTGTGTATGTATCTACTATTTCCTTATATCTGTGGACGTATCAACTGTTTCCTTATATCTGTGTATGTATCAACTGTTTCCTTATATCTGTGTATGTATCAACTATTTTCTTATATCTGTGTTTGTATTGGCTGTTTCCTTATATCTGTGTATGTATCAACTGTTTCCTTATATCTGTGTATTTATCAGCTGTTTCCTTATATCTGTGTATGTATCAACTGTTTCTTTATATCTGTGTATGTATCTACTATTTCCTTATATCTGTGGACGTATCAACTGTTTCCTTATATCTGTGTATGTATCTACTGTTTCCTTATATCTGTGTATGTATCAACTGTTTCCTTATATCTGTGTATGTATCAACTGTTTCTTTATATCTGTGTATGTATCTACTGTTTCCTTATATCTGTGTATGTATCTACTGTTTCCTTATATCTGTATATGTATCTACTATTTCCTTATATCTGTGTATGTATCAACTGTTTCTTTATATCTGTGTATGTATCAACTGTTTCCTTATATCTGTGTATGTATCAACTGTTTCTTTATATCTGTGTATGTATCAACTGTTTCCTTAAATCTGTGTATGTATCTACTGTTTCCTTATATCTGTGTATGTATCAACTGTTTCCTTATATCTGTGTATGTATCAACTGTTTCTTTATATCTGTGTATGTATCTACTATTTCCTTATATCTGTGTATGTATCAACTGTTTCCTTATGTCTGTGTATGTATCAACTATTTTCTTATATCTGTGTTTGTATTGGCTGTTTCCTTATATCTGTGTATGTATCAACTGTTTCCTTATATCTGTGTATGTATCAGCTGTTTCCTTATATCTGTGTATGTATCAACTGTTTCCTTATATCTGTGTATGTATCAACTGTTTCTTTATATCTGTGTATGTATCTACTATTTCCTTATATCTGTGGACGTATCAACTGTTTCCTTATATCTGTGTATGTATCAACTGTTTCCTTATATCTGTGTATGTATCAACTATTTTCTTATATCTGTGTTTGTATTGGCTGTTTCCTTATATCTGTGTATGTATCAACTGTTTCCTTATATCTGTGTATTTATCAGCTGTTTCCTTATATCTGTGTATGTATCAACTGTTTCTTTATATCTGTGTATGTATCTACTATTTCCTTATATCTGTGGACGTATCAACTGTTTCCTTATATCTGTGTATGTATCTACTGTTTCCTTATATCTGTGTATGTATCAACTGTTTCCTTATATCTGTGTATGTATCAACTGTTTCTTTATATCTGTGTATGTATCTACTGTTTCCTTATATCTGTGTATGTATCTACTGTTTCCTTATATCTGTATATGTATCTACTATTTCCTTATATCTGTGTATGTATCAACTGTTTCTTTATATCTGTGTATGTATCAACTGTTTCCTTATATCTGTGTATGTATCAACTGTTTCTTTATATCTGTGTATGTATCAACTGTTTCCTTAAATCTGTGTATGTATCTACTGTTTCCTTATATCTGTGTATGTATCAACTGTTTCTTTATATCTGTGTATGTATCAACTGTTTCCTTATATCTGTGTATGTATCTACTATTTCCTTATATCTGTGAATGTATCAACTGTTTCCTTATGTCTGTGTATGTATCAACTATTTTCTTATATCTGTGTTTGTATTGGCCGTTTCCTTATATCTGTGTATGTATCAACTGTTTCCTTATATCTGTGTATGTATCAGCTGTTTCCTTATATCTGTGTATGTATCAACTGTTTCTTTATATCTGTGTATGTATCTACTATTTCCTTATATCTGTGGACGTATCAACTGTTTCCTTATATCTGTGTATGTATCAACTGTTTCCTTATATCTGTGTATGTATCAACTGTTTCCTTATATCTGTGTATCTATCAGCTGTTTCCTTATATCTGTGTATGTATCACCTGTTTCCTTATATATGTGTATATATCAACGGTTTCCTTATATCTGTGTATGTATCAACTGTTTCCTCATATCTGTGTATATATCAACGGTTTCTTTATATCTGTGTATGTATCAACTGTTTCCTCATATCTGTGAATGTATAAACCTTGTTCTCATATCTGTGTATGTATCAACTGTTTCCGTATATCTGTGTTTGTATTGGCTGTTTACTTATGTTTGTGTATGTATCAACTGTTTCCTTTTATCTGTGTATGTATCTGCTTTTTCCTTATAGCCTGTTTTGAAGTTTGAACAAGTGCAATACATACCTGAACATTGACAGATTTCTTGGGCGCAGGTTTCTTTTTAGTTGATTTGCGCTTGGTTTCTTCTTTCTGTGGCGTTAGGCTGATGTCCATGAGAGAATGCGTTGGAGACTGGGACTGGTGCTGGCCCACACACCCTATACATAGATAGACGGAGCAGTCCAAGCACTTAACTGTGGCCGTCTGTGGTGGTGTCGTTTGACATGTTTTGCAGGTAAACTCAACAGCGAACTGAGCAAGTTCCGACACGACACTGACATCCACCTACAGCGCACAGGACAGAACCTTTAGTGAGTGGGTGAGTGAGTTTTGCTTCTTTGTTTGTTGTTTAACGCCACACTCAGCAATATTACAGCTGTATAACGGCGGCCTGTAAATAATTGAGTCTGGACCAGACAATCCAGTAACTGAGATCATGAGCATCGATCTACACAATTGTGATACGATGACATGCATCTACCAAGTCACCGAGCCGGACCACCCAATCCCGCTAAACGCCTTTCACGACAAGCATAGTCGTCTCTTAGGACAAGCATGGGTTGCTGAAGAACTATTTTATACCCGGATCTTGGTAGTGGGTGAGTTTGGTTAAACGCTGCTTGAACAGTATTTCAGTTACATAACGCCCTGCCAGCTTGATGTAGGAGGAAAGTCAGAAGCGATGCAGGTCTTAGACCTTTACCACTTTGGTGAAACCCACGATGACAGGTATGGTGTTGACAAACCTTGAAACACAATCGGGGTGAACCGCTAGTCGACCCACGATCATATGATCAATTGCGAGCATGGGTATGGTGCTGACAAACATAGAAACGTAACCATAGGTGTCTGGCGTACCTAAGGGCATCAGTCAGGGCTAGGGTTCTGTGCATAATATAGTAACATTTGTGGTGATAGGATGTTTATTGCATTGTACACTGCGTTATGGTCGATCCAAATTTTAGGTAAATATAACTATTGGTTATGAATGAATGAATGAATGAATGAATGAATGAATGAACGAATGAATGACCTACCCTGGACTGAACTGAACTCATGCTACCCCCGCGATCCCTTGTGGGTTCTGACGATCGTCTTTCCGTCGCATCAGAAGGTGGGTTCCCTGTCTGGACAGGGGCAGATTGTACGTCCACCAGAGTGTGCTCTGGGTTTGTAATGCTGGTGGGATGGAAGGCATGGAGGCAGCTGTTACAGAAGGTCATCTGGCACTCCAGACATCGGAGACGTGCTGGGGATGGGGTTGGTGATGCGGGGTCACAGAGGGTGCACTTGTGGGGCTGAAACAGGCGGATGAGCTAGTGACAAAAACGCAAGTGTTTCACAAGTAGTGAAAAAAATGTTAATGTTTTATTATTAATGCAAGAAAAATAAAAACTGCAAAAATATTTTTGTTCCTTGAAGTATATGTAAATATACGTTTAATGACTATTTTTGCATTATCATTATTATTTATTATATTTTGTTTATTTTCTTTCATTCAATTTTGCATAGCTTTGTAGTGAATGTGATCTTGTTCCAACATGGACAATATGCTTATTGAATTAAACCCCTGTCATTGTATACAATAGGTCCACATATCTTTATAGCCTCATACTTTCATTGTCTCTTTTCAAAAGTACATGTACCAGTGATTTGAAAGTTATCATATTGACAGTGGATAAGAGCGATGAACATCAAACATGTAACTCATTTGGGAACCACAATACATAAAAAAACAGAGTGAGTGCGAAAGTTAAAATGTAAAGAGACATAGGTAACATTTCAGCCATATTGTTACACATTACTTATATCTGAAAACCTGTGCACAATGGACAACTAGAATATCACAACTTGGTAAACCAGTATTAGAAGGTTAACACTTAATGACCTTTACTACAATGTAAAACCGGGCTATAGACCACCAGCAACCAAAGGTAGATCACCATACTGGGGACCATGGGGACTTGCTGAACTTTTCCTACCTGCAGGGATCCCAGCTGGATTTACATCATCCTCCAGCTGCCGGCGATCATTGACACATTTTAATATCAAAAGAACACTATTCTACGCACAAAGACAGAAATGCACCCTGAACTCTCCGTTACATCACACATTTACTACTATCATCTAGTTCTATGGATGCCTATTCCATCGAGAATGTTGTTTGAGTGCCTGCCAGTTCCTATAAATACCAAGTACCTCAGCCTTCTCTTGTACGGGTGGCAGTGGTTCCTTCATCAGTTTCAGTGTGTGGCCGATTTCCTCCGGATGATAGACACCGCGGCAGGTCTTGCAGAAAGCAATATTACATGTTTCACAAAACACGTGTGCTTGACTGGTCCGTCCTATATCGCACGTGCTGCACGTGGATGGCAACACTTGATTTGGAAGTGTCGTCTGCTGGGCTTGATATGGAGGTGCCCCTTGCATCATTGGATTTGGAAGTATAGCCTGCTGGCCTTGATTTGGAAGTGTCGTCTGCTGGCCTTGATTTGGAAGTGTCGCCAGAAGGTCTTGATTTGGTGCAGTTGCATGAAGACAATGGCGTGGTGCTGCCGTTGGAAGACCTGGGTTTGGAGTTATCAGCTGATTTGGAAGTGACTGGTGGTCTAAAGTCCGAGGTGACTGAGATAATTTGATTTTTCTTTGGGATTGTCTGTATATAGCCACCATACTACTCAAAGGGAAGTTTCGCTTTAAACTAGCATGACCACTTGTACCCAAATCAACTTGACTGTTGCACTCCGGACACTTAAACGCCTGCGACGTGACAGGCCCGTCCCGTGTAAACCTCTCCACGCAGCGACGGCACAGTGAATGGAGACATGGAAGAAGTACAGGATCTGTGAAGAGTTCCAGACACACACAACAAGATAGCTGTCTCTCCATCTGATCGTCGTTGTCAAGGGCCATGGCTTCGTCCATGCTGGACGCAATCAATTTACCTGCAAAGTCAGATTTATTGTTTTCAGAATTACAATTTCTCAACTCTATGTACATGGAAAGCCCGCTTATTCCGAAAATATCTAATTGTGCTTTTCGACCCGTCTGTCAGGAACAGTATGGGACATAAGTCATGACATTGATTCGTAAATTTTGCTATCCGTATATGAAGATATTGTCCCGATTGACGCCGTAGCACTGTGCATGATCGTATATCTGTGTATAACGATACTGTCTAGAATTGGGAATGTTGCACTGTTCTTTGTCGTGTATGTTTACAACTGTCTTGTCCAGATTGACGAAGTTACACAGTATTTTATCGTGTTTATGCATTCGAGGCCTATTTCATTACCTCATGTGACAATGGAAGACGTGGAATCCAGTATGTCCTCCGTGTCTACATTCTTCTAAATGTCACTTAAGTCTTTAGAATTTATTCCCTTCAGAGGTTCTACCACACAGAATCAGTCGTTCGACAAGCAGTTTTCGTAGAGCCTTCACTGCAGATTGAATCATCTTGCGGCTGTGATTGGATAATTTTGGGTAAGATTATTATGTATTTTAATGTACAACCCATCCAGTAATTAAAACTGACTATGTTTTTAAATATTTAGTGCTGTATTTTTTAACATGATGATTTATGTGACAACAGATATTTTCAAGCAAGTGACATTTGTTGCGGAACTGGGGGTTGTGTGTTTAGCTTCCTCTACTTGGAAAAGGAACTGGCTAAGCTAGTCTTTTTTTTAATTGCTCCTTTAAAGCCAGACTGTGCACACATGTACAAGTAATAGCCTAGTTATTTGTTTTACAATATAACGTTACTAGAAAAGTGTTTTGGAGAACATTTGGTTTTGTGTAACCTAAAACAGTTTTTAGAATAAAATTTAGATTTATTCAGATGCACAGTTTACGCCTGGTAATTACATTGAATAAAACATTTATTCTATTCATCATTATGAAAGAGAAAAGTCCATTTTCTTAGCGTATTATTCATACGAAATGTTTGAAGGAAGGTGAAAGTCTTCCTGAACACAAAATTCATAAATTCGGATTCGTAATGGTGATCGGTAAACGGTTGCACTTTGGAACATATTTGTTGATATCGTACAAAAATACGTGTTAGTGGTGTCAGTGTTGTCTTGTAAGTCAATAGGCTGAACTGATCAGGCTAGTCTGATCACGAAGTGTTCTGGTCAGTTTTCAATACGTTCCGGTTTCCCACGTGGTCGGAAAAGATTACCCGCAATCAGTTGGTCACTCAAACTGACCACCCAATGTATTTTAGTTGGTCCTTTCACCAGCATTGATTATTTGAGACGACCATGTGTCCGAGTATGTGTCTTTGTGTGTGCGTGTGTGTGTGTCTGTGTGTATGTGTGTGTCTGTGTATGTGTCTCTGTGTGTACGTGTATGTGTCCGTGTGTGTGCGTGCGAGTGTCTGTGTGTATGTGTGTGTCTGTGTGTATGTGTGTGTGTGTGTCCGTGTATGTGACTCTGTGTGTACGTGCATGTGTCTTTGTGTATGTGTGTGTACGTTTATGTGTCTCTGTGCGTGCGTGCGTGTGTCTGTGTGTACGTGTATGTGTCTGTGTGGGCGTGCGTATGCTGTGTGTATGTGTGTGTCTGTGTGTGCGTGCGTGTGTGTGGGTCTGTGCATGTGTCTGTCTGTGTGTGTCAGTGTATATGTGTGCGGGTCTGTGTGTACGCGCGTCTGTGTGGGTCTGTGCATGTGTCTGTGTGTGTCAGTGTATATGTGTGTGTATATGTGTGTGTATGTGTGTGCATAATGTATATGTGTGTGGTTTGTTTACCACTACACTCATACATATTCCAGCTTTATGCGAAATCTGGACAAAAACAAATCGAGTGATCGATATCATGAGCATTTAGTCGCATCTTACGAGGTAACCTGCCGTCAAAATGTCGTTCACCCATATTTAATGGTGGCTCAAAATTAAACAAACAGGAAATAGTTATTCGAAGGTGACGTATTTGATAAGGATATCATAGTTGTGTTTTGGAGTGTTTCGACGACTGTTTTTAGCCTAGTAACGTTTTTATAACCTTTGTTATTTTACCTCAAATCGATTTTCAAGTGTATACTTTCTCTTGCCTTGCAGTGTATTGTAGCGTATTTATCTGAATCCTGAAGGCCTACAGTATGGTCGTCTATGTTTAACATATTCAAACACACTACGAACCGTAATCAAATACCCAAATATAGGGTTATGTCAATAAAAGCGACAAGTCCCTTTCCACAATCATAGCATAAGAAATCTCTACAGAAAGCCATTGTACGATTCCGACTATATCATGAGCATGTGTTTGTGAATGACTATCAGATAGTGATAACACCAGGTGTATCCTGCCCCTCCCGTCAAAACATGTACAGTGAGTTAAAATTTAAAGTCACATCAGCAATATGTCAGCCATATCGTGACTAAAACATGTACAGGCATGCCAAGTAGTGGTCAAAACACACGGACTATATAGGCTGTACGAGGAGATGTTTTGTGCGTTACATACCCTATATGTTACCAACGCGGACCCTATTTATCTGCATGGTACATGCAACCGTCGCAGCTGTTACCTATTGATTTATTCTTAATTCGGGTCGTATTGACTTCGACAGCTAAAATCGATAAATAATATCTTGTAAATATGACTATGTGACGTCGTCTAGCGTCTCTCTACCAACCTAGGGGAACGGTTAGACAAGTACTCCATGCTGTCTGAATACGATGGTTGTGTGTTCCAACCCCAAAATATACCTTGGTTATAATTGTGGATGTGTCAGGGCAATATATGCGCCCATGACTTTCACAAAACATTTAGGATTTCGCGTTTATCCCACAATAACCCGATCGACATGCCAAGGGACTAACCATTTGACATACTGGGGGAGGGGGCTGGGATTCTGTACCAAGATTAGAGATGTTTTAGCTACAGCTAAAAAAAACAGATACATTTTTAGTTAAAACTATGAGCCTGAAATATAAAGAAATATACCTTCCAACAACGTAATTTATGTTGCATCAATCTTTTTTTCAAAAATCTGAAGCATAATTTTTTTTAAGAATATACAATATATTTTTTCGACCCCCCCCCCCCCCCCCCCCCCCCCACACACACACACACACAAACTAATTAAAAAAGACAACAACAAATAAGAAGACAGAAATTATGTTAAAAGCTACGTTACTACCCATACCATGTATCACGTATCCTTAGCTTAATACTCAGTGAGTGAGTGAGTTGGGTTCAACGCCGCTTTTAACAGTATTCCAGTTATATCACGGCGTGTCGGCTTAATGTGGGAGGAAAGCCCGAAGTGATGCAGGTCTCAGTCGTTTACCACTTCGTTGAAACCCATGAGCACGGGTATGGTGCTGACAAACCTAGAAACATAATCGGGACGAACCGGGATTCGAACCCACAATCATAGGTTTTGGGACGCAACTCTGCACAGCGAATCGCGGCGCCTTAGACGACTGGGCCACCCGTGACCACCAAGAAAAAGAGGGTCACCATGTAAATACTTTCACATGTTATGGAATGTCATATTGTTAAGGGCGGTCGGGTAGCCTAGTGGTTAAAGCGTTGGCTCGTCACGCCGAAGACCCGGGTTCGATTCCCGACATGGGTACAATGTGTGAAGCCCATTTCTGGTGTCCCCCGCCGTGATATTGCTGGAATATTGCTAAAAGCGGCGTAAAACCATACTCACTCACTCACTCATATTGTTAGGTATTTTAACGAGCACATTAGTTGATATAGCGACTCCTAAGATTAGTATGGAGGACCGCCTTTACTGAGATGACGTCCTCTCGGTGTAATGGTATTAACACAGGCTAGTTTGTTTGTTTGTTGTCTAACGCCGCACTCAGCAATATTCCAGCTATAGGACGGCGGTCTGTAAATAATGGAGTCTGGACCAGACAATCCAGTGACTGACATCATGAGCATCGATCCACGCAATTGACATGCATCAACCAAGTCAGCGAGCCTGACCACCCGATCCCGTTAGTCGCCTCTTACAACAAGCATAGTCGCCTTTTACGGCAAGCATGGGGTGCTGAAGACCTATTCTTACCCGGATCTTCAATGGTCACAGGCGGGTACACAAAGCAGGACAAGAGATGAATACCTAGGCGAGCGCGTGGCATACACATTACAAGTTGAAATACTCACACGAGTGGAGTGTCAGTGTCGTTTAACGCTCAACGAAGCATTATTTGATCCATATGACGACAGCCTGGTAATAATTGAGTGGCGATTCACGCCATCGGGACGTGATGACATGCATTCACTGAAGCCACTCTGATCACCTTCAGCTGAGTCTACAACATGTAATTATAAACACTGCGCGTGATTTAGTAACATCCCTGCCTGTAACAATTGAAAATGTTTTATGACACGACGTAACTAGTCTTTCAGTGAGAATACGCAGACGCCACTACCCAGATCACCCACCACTATTGTGAACTTAATGATAAGTAACACGACAGTATCTTATCAACGAGATAGCCCCGTGGCTTAACGAGACTGGCAAAATAACATTCTCATTAGATATTTTAGTGGTGTTGCACCACTCAATACCTACCTCCAAAACACACAGATATAGATGTAGACGGTCCCTGTAATTATCACTATGGTAGATAGCGCCAGGCCCTCACCAACCAATAGCTACTACCTCAGTACGCCACCTAATGCGCATGCTCGTGTAATGACCTATTTGTATTGTCTTATTCCAGGAAGTATATTTTTAGTTTGGGGAAATCCGAATTGAAACCCTTTCGTTAGTGTCATATGTATTGAATGTGTGTGTTTGAGTGTAAGCAAGACACGTGTCCTCTCGAAAATTAACGCCTCTTTTCAAGCAAACTGACAAACTATTTAAATAAACAAACGTCAGATATAGCGTTAACAGATAAATGTGACAACATTATTTTGACCATGCTTGTCTACCAAACACAATATACGCCTTACATTATAAGTTGTAGCAGGATCACTCTGCTACATAGGGTACATGGGGCTTTATGTGTCCCGCGTTTGGTTTAATACTACGAGCCAGATGCGAGAGGTGAGGTGAGGCGAGATGGGATATAACGTCGCGTCCAAGATTATTGCACTTATATAGCGACGTGCACACGTGTGTGTGTGTGTGTGTGTGTGTGTGTGTGGCTGTGTGTGTGGCTGTGTGTGTGTGTGTGTGTGGCTGTGTGTGTGTGTGTGTGTGTGTGTGTGTGTGTGTGTGTGTGTGTGTGTGTGTTTGTATTAGTCAGGACTGATGCCGATGTATAGTGCTAGCTCACTGAGATACCAAGCCGCAGTATAACATGAATACCCCACTCAGACACAGTATACTGACTCTGACTCCGAGCCGACCAGTCCTTTCTTAGACCCTATATTCCGAGCGCCAGACAGGGTAACAACAAGAACCATCTTTTAACGTCTTTTGGTATGAACCCCGGACCTTCCGCTCTCCGGGCTGACGCTCTACCACTAGACCAAGGAGGCGCTTTTATGCGTGTGGTATAAAACCTAACGAGGGAGGCATAAAACCCAATGTACCCCGAGTGATCCTGCTACATCGAATTTATCTTACCGGCATGTTTTAATGTGACATTGTAAGCGGATCAATACAAATTCAAATTGATAGAAAACAGCTGTCTCTCAGATATCCACGTGCAGCCTTCATTGCTCGTGGCGGGGTAAAAGATTTTTATTCCCAGGCTGAGAAATTTATTACCCTCCAAGGCGGGTTACACAGTGTTTTATCACGATCACGTGGACCAATCAGATCTCATCACTCTGACATGGGGGCGGTCGGGTAGCCTAGTGGTTAAAGCCTTCGCTCGTCACGCCGAAGACCCGGGTTCGATTCCCGACATGGGTACAATGTGTGAAGCCCATATCTGGTGTCCCCCGCCGTGGTATTGCTGGAATATTGCTAAAAGCGGCGTAAAATCATACTCACTCACTCACTCACTCTGACATGGAGGTATGATAAATGGCCATGTACACATATGCCATTGCATCATATATGTGGTTGAGCAGACACAGAGATGACTATGAGTCAGGGTATTAAAGGGGCTATCTCCGACGTCGGTACTGGCTTCCAATGCAAGTTCTTTAGTAGTTAGTTATAGTAGTTAATATCTAAAGACGCCAGACTGACATGATCACCACGGAGGGGCGTGGCAGAAACCGTGTCTGTTTAATATATATCAAAGACTGATCAGTTCACATATCAAATAGTGTTTGTTCATGTGATACGCAAGATACAGTTGTTTTTTTATTTCACATATCAAAGAATGTTTGTTTATTTCACATATCAAAAGAATGTTTGTTTATTTGACATGTTAATGGGTGTTTGTTCATTTGACACATGGACGTTTGTTTATTCACATAACATGGTGTGTTTGTTTGTTTCACATATTCATGGGCGTTGGTTTCTTTTGTTCACCTCTCAATGAGTGTTTGTTTACATATCCAAAATTTTTGTTTATTTCACATATCAATGAGCCTATGCTTATTTCACATGTCAAACAATGTTTGTTTATTTCAAATATCAATGACCGTTTATTTACTACACATACGAGGGGCGTTCAATAAGTTTTGCAACTTCAAAATAAGACCAAGTCGCAGAATATCTTTCGCACTTTTATTTTTCAATATAATCTCCATTCACTTCAATACACTTATTCCATTTGTCCTTCAAGCTTTTAATACCACTTTTATAGAACTCCGCAGATTGGCCCTCTAACCACGCCTCTGTGGCAGCCTTTATGTCCTCGTCATCCTGGAAGTGTCTTCCACGTAGGGCAGATTTCGTTTGCCGGAACAGGAAATAGTTACAGGGGGCTAAGTCTGGGCTGTAGGGTGGAAGATTTAACTGTACATCCAAGGATTAGCCCCCAGTGACCTTTTCCCGTTTTCTCTTAAAGATTTGGATGATAAAAGACCATGTTTATATACCATCAATAAGTGACTGACCATTTAATATTTGTGTAGATACGGGGACTTTTGTAAATATCATTTAATTTCCCAAATCCAAAATATTAATCATTTGATTTCTAAAGTAGACATTTAGTAGTAAATATCATTCCTATATCCGGAGAAAATCTATCATATTTACTTGTTTAATACCCCTCTGGATACCATGTTAATCTCCCGACGCACCGTGTTAGAAGTTCAAAAAGAGAACGTTGTGCCAAAATCCCGATAAGTAGAATATTAAATGTCCGATCTGTAGCTGTAAAAAATATTGTAAATGTAACACTGGTCTGAATAAATCAGACCGCCCTGAAACGTGTCCGAGATTCTGTTATGCGTACATAAACAAACACATTTCGCCTCTTTTCATGGTACCCTCTTAAAAGTACTGTGCGACGAAAAGTGTTATTTGACAGCAAAATTAGCTCATTTTAATGTTCCTCAACGTCCCGCAATGTAGTCAAAAGACGACATAGAGTTACACGCACGCTCATAGAAAATGGGCCATAACTCCGTTACGCTTAAAACTCGGCCAGTATAACAATTGTAGCTATGCTTGTAAGAATTTGCTGAGGATCAGATGAATATATTTGCGTACTGTTTTGTTCACAAGGAACCAAACTGTTCCATCTCACATAGTTATATCTGAAACAATATACCTTTCGTCGGAGAAAAAAGACATTACCATATTGATTAAGATATATATTGTACCTAATTTCGTTCAGAGTATTAAACACGCTATTGTTAATGCAGATTTTGAATCTCATTCGACGCATATGAAATTACCTGGCTAAGTCGTATAAAGATAGCCAACAAATGGTGTACATGTCGCGTTTGGTTTGGTTAATTCTGATAAATCTATAGTAAACAGTTTAATAACTTTACAAACCGAGACTCGTTATACCTAAATCGTTTGTGATCAATTTCTGATGTAAAGAAAAGCGACAAAACACTTTCCATAATCAAATCATAAGAAATCTCCGCTATAAGCATTCCATTGTTCGATTCCGACTATATCCGTCATCTACAATATATCGTAAGCATGTGTTTATTAATCACTATCAAATAGTATTCATATCATGCGAAACGGTGACAACAAATAGGGAATTGCATCGGACATCATTTGGTCACTGGTGCGTCAAATTTGGAAATATTTTCCACGCGTCCACCATAACACGTTTTTTTGCTAGTTTTATCTCAGTGCTCAATACAAAATGTACTTTACAGGAGGTAATTTGTAGGCATACGTGTGGCAGTTGGGATCCACACCCTTGTATCACCCACAGGGTATGCATTGTGTTATTTATATTTGTCTAAGACTTACAATGTAATCTAATTGTGATGACCACATTTGATGTAAGATCATATCATTAATTTCTGTCATAAAGTATTGTTTATGCAGAATGTGCAAGCGTTATGTATATATATATATGGTGTATATATTATAGTCAAAAGAAAGTCAAGGAGTTATCTCCCTTGAATGTCGGTATTGTGGATCATGTATATTACTGTATATGTTCTAGTATAATCGTTTAAGGTTCAGTCTATCTTGTGTTTAATAGATGACTGATATATGTAAATACTTACTTGTAATAAGCCTATGCTATGTATCTAGCATTAATGATAATGTTTTACTTATTATTTATTGTGTAATTATGTGTTTCAGGGTGTATGATATCTAGATCCTTGATCACACTCATCGCATCGCAATAAAGACCTCAACCCCGTCGTATGTGTTTGGTGACTCGTAAAAGACATTCACTAAACTGCTACATTTATGTACATAATACTAATTGCATGTAAGTTGTTGTTCGAGAAGGGAATATGTTACTTTTACGTTCTGATATTTTGACGATGATTCACTATCCCACATTGCCACTCACAAATCACTAACCACTGACAAATCACATGCACGTGGGTTTCAAGCACCTGTTTTCACCTGTCGTCAAGGTGTCATAGGTCATGGACATTCACCTTGATCTACTAACACCTGGTTATGCTCAGTTTCACAATAGTCTGTTTTATTCATATTTTTACACATTTTTACGTGTAAAAAGACATAAAAACCTTTGATACGCTGTATTTGTGCAAAGGCCCAATTAGTACTAATTGAGTTGTTCGAATATTTATATATTTTGTATATTAACTGCATTTATTAAAAATCTGAGATCGAAAAAACAGGTTTTTTTCATTTCCGTGAGTACTTTAAGGCGGGAATTTTACAACTATGAATAAACACTAATTGAGTCAAATGAAACCTTCGGAGAAAGAGTATGCCCCATTGTACCTCACAAACTGTGAAAGGTAAACTCTAAACTTGGCTTGAACTGCTGGAATATTTCTCGACATAAGGGAAAGTTGACAATTGGAAAATTAAAGTCATCCTTCTTGTCATACAGTCAGTGGAGAGTGTTTTGTCATAAATCTGTATATCTAAACATGAAACAGATGAGGGAATCTCACTGGTCTCCTATATTTCTAGTTCAGGTAGGTGATAAGTGGAAGGGAATTGGCTATTTGATGGTTATTAAACCATATCAGATCATCGATATACCTGAAGCTTTAAGTACCACTTCTTGGACAAATTACCTTATTTGACTTTGCCAATCCAAGCAGAAATACCGATTCATATGCACTGAGAAACAGATCAGCAAGAAGGGGAGCACAATCGGTGCCCATGGTGATGTTTAAATGTCTTACC